TTGACAGCTTGAAAAGAATGTAACTCAAATATTTTCCTTTTCATTAAATAGCTAGTTTGTACGAATATAAGTGAAGTCTGAAGACAAAAGCTTATTTGAACGACTCCTCAATTTTGTACAGCATAGTGATGGATTATTTTTTCCTCTTTCCCTCTTTTGGCAGGAATGATGGTGAACACATATTCTGTAATAGTTGTGGATGAATGGTGTTAGCTAAGTAGTAATAGCTTGTCATAAGAGTGGCTGCCCAGCATAATTTTAGGAGGAAGAACTAGTTGATGCTGCACCAAAATCAAAAAATTATGTTACAGGATGCTCAGTCTAAAGTTTAAACATGACATCTATATGAAGAAAGTAAAAAGGTTTTCATATTTTCAAGATACTATCAGTGACGTACCATTTCACAAATAAATGCACACTGAGTGTTTAAAAAAGATGGCTATTAGAATGAAGATTCAGAGATTCAACATTCCTGGCACATCTTTACTAAATTCTATTTGTAATTTCTAATTTTATATAGCAGTTTAAATATTTTGTAAATTTATTATTTTATTTTGGGAAGATATTATTTGTGGTTATTGTCAGGTTGTGTCGAGATTTGAAGGACCCAAATACAGGGATGGAAGCTCAGGTGGTTTCTTGCAGGTTTAACAATACAAAAGGTGGCAACAGAAGCAAAAATTCCAAAATAACAAAATACAGAAAACTGAAATCCAGGAGACTTAAAGGATAACACACATAAGGGACAAAGAATTGAGGAGGAACCAGCAAAGAGTGACTGAACAGGAGGTGTATATATGGGAGACAGAAACAATGGGAAGACCAATTGGGAGATGAGTAACAGTTGTGGAAATCAGAATCTAGAAGGGAGCTAGGAGAAGGAGACTGACACAAGAGGGCAACAGAAGGTAAACAAGAAATACATAAAAACTCAATTAAACCAAAAACAACTAGAATAACACAAAATGGAAGTAAAAACAAAGAAAACTCAAAAAGAAAACTTAAACAGAGCCAAAACCATGACAGTTATGCTTTTAGTGCTTGCTATTTAAAAAGCTGCACAAAGTCACTCCTTCATCTACTGTTCTACAATATACAGGTAAACCATAATAGACAGGTATTCACAAAACAATAATTGCCAGAAATACCAAAATGCTGGAAAAGGCACGTTGGATGGAGAAAACAGCAGATTACAGTAAAACTACAAAATGTGTCCTGCCTCACTTCCTGTTTTTACTTTAGGCTGTTGGATCTGTGTTTTGTGTTTGTTGCTTACCCATTACCTCACTTAGCAAAGTAGTTTTACAGGAGGTGTAAATAACTTTGACTTAAGAATCCTTCTGTTGGTCAGGGTAATTTAATGAACTACAGTCCTATATAGAAACTTATTTTCTTATATAAAACTAAATAAATATTTGCCAATTAAGTGTGTGAACATTTACACCGTAATGACCTTTTTGAAGAGTTTCAATCACGTTTTAGGCAAAACCATGCAAGTGGGCGAGACAAGGCAGATTTATTTGTATAGCACATTTCAGTAGCAAGACAAGTCAAGGTGATATACCTGATTTGAAAATGAAAAGTACATTGCAGTGGCATAAAGGCAACC